TCTTATTTTTCGCCTCAAAGTCATTGTCCATATCAATTTCGAGTGAATAAGCTCCACTAGTTACCAAAATATCGCAGTTTTCGTATTTCAGAAAACTACTGTTATATGGAAGGTAGGCGTGGTTATTGTCCAATTTTTCCCATTTTCAATACCATCCGTACTACGCTGAAAAGAAATACACATACCAAGATTCGTTAAGATATCTAAATTTTTACTCGAGTTATCGTGTGCATAGATGGACGGACAGAAAGTCACCGCTTAATCTATTCCTTTTCTCATTATGATCAATTATGTACACATTTGTCTATATCTATCTCGATCCGTTTTGGGTGTTACAAACAACCTTTATGTGAACAAAGTTATAATACCCTTGTGGACAAGTGCGCTTGGGTATAAAAATGGTTTCAGGATATTCTACAACGAGAAACTGGTGATGCTGAATTAAGAAAAAAACGGTCAAGAAAACATTTTTGAGTAGTGTAGACAAAAATAATATTTTTGCCAAAAATTTTGTTTTCGTTAAAAGTTTAATAACTCTGTAAACTTTCATCCGATTTTTGAAAATAAACACTAGTTTTTTCGTTATTAAATTTGGTTTTACAATCAATTTAGGACTAGTATGGTTTTCTTATAAAATAATGTGTAAAAACCTCACCAAAATTGAAAAAAGGCGAAAAAGTAAAAAAAATGTGTTCAACAAATTTTCATAAAAATTTTCAGCTTTTTAATCAGATTTTTTAGAATTTAGAACTTTCGCGAGTTTTGCACAAAGTTTGGGAATTATATTTTTATGTTTTTTGTTGTTGTATGAACCATATTTTTATACAAAATTGGCGGAAAAATATTAGAATAAAAATTGTTGCATATATTGTGAAAAATTTGCTGTGCCAATACTTTGTTCCGGCAGTGTATATTTATTAAAAATCCTTAATTTAGCTTCGTGAGTTTATATAAACAGAAGTCATAAGAATATAACAACTAAGTATTATAAGCCTATGAAAATCTGAGGGCACTTTAAATTGTATACTTACAGTGCCCTTTAAAGTTATTGAATATCGAATTCAAACGCGAATGAATGGAACCCTACCAGTTATCGTGGTCTGTAAATTAAGAAAAATTAGGTAGTTTATAATATTCTTCCTATTATATAATATCATTTATATACTTACAGTATGCTTAATATGCTTGTATGCATTAAAAAAAGAGGGATAAGGAGCATATTGCGCGAGGGATAATACTCAAACCACACCCCAAAATGCATGCGTATTAGGGTATCATACTCGCTCGTAATGACAGTACGAGCGGATGGCATACATCGGGTACCGTAATACATAGGCATGATTGTCATTTCATTTCATTTAAAAAGTATGTCTGCGAAACTTTTCCAACTCAATTTGATGATCTCTGGGAACAATTGTTGCATTTTTACGCTCCTAATAATCTATAACGAAACACAGAAATTAATCCTTCTTTGTGGCTGATAACTTTTATTTCTTTTAGTTTATAATATTTTGTAACTTCTGGATAAGTACAGTATTTTATTTAAAACCATATTTCTCGTAGTCAACTCAATGCTGTTACTTGCGTTAAAACTAGGAATCGTATATCCGTTTGTGTGTATTAAAAATGACAACTTATAGACAACTTCTTTTAACATCAAACAAATTTGTAAATAAAATCTTATTTGTATTTTCGCATTCATAAAATAGCAAACACGTTAATATATTTATTCATTTTCACTTGTCTTTAACTGCATATATATGATCTGGGAGTTCATTGTTAGCAAATCGCTCCCACATTCGGCTGAAAACCATTTCTAATCCTTTAGCATATTGAGAGCAGTCGAACAAAGGACTTTCTACACGAGCTTTCCACACTTTTGCCCTCATCGCTTTCAGGTATTCTCTATCAGTGCCTAATCGAATTGCAACGTCTTCGTATTCTTGTCTCGTGTGTGCTATAAGCTCTGGGCAACCCAAAGTTGCCAACTGTGATGCAGCAACTCTGTAAAACAAAATAAAACAATATATTTATTTATTTATTTATGTCTAACAACTAACCATAGTTATAACAGACATTAATATGATAATTAAATATAACTATCAGTCATTACGCTAAGTTGTTTACTTAAAAATTAATTTAGAAGATTACCTAAGAAACAATTAAAAAAACAATCAAGAATTTGAAACAGGTTAGGAATTACAAGACTTATAAGATATTAATGACTGGACTTAAGATATCTTTCCAATTCTAATGTATTTGCTCAAGGGTTTGTAAAATCTATGCCTAACAAGTTTGAAAAATAATTGAAATCAGATAAGGTTCTGTTTATTGGCGCATTTGCACCATAAATCGTTCTACTTAGCCCAACCGACACAAATTACGGCCAGGAACATAAAAATGGATTCTCTCAAGTAAGGACGGGCACTCAATTTTTCCCGAGATAATACCCAATAAAAATGAGAGCCAGAGAAGTTCTGCTGTTATGTAAAGTTGGTAGGCTAATTAGCCGACAACGGGAGACATATGATGGCAATGGTTCAACAAACTTTAATGAACGTAAAACAAAGCGTATAAATACTTTTTGCACCTTTTCTAAACGATTAATATCAACAGTATAACTCGGCCTCCAAATAAACGCAGCATATTCCAATTCTGAACACACAAACGCGGTATAAAGCATCGTAATAATATAAGGGTCGGTGAACTCTGAAGAGTGACGTCTAACAAATGCAAGCATGGCAAATGAGTCAGCAATAGTTTCATTTAAGTGAGAAGTGAAGGTAAGTTTTGAGTCGAAATGTACTCCAGGATCTTTAATCTCACTTAACGAGTCAAGGCAAACATTTATTTATTTTATTTATTTAATTCTTACAGCTTAACTAAGCCTGGCTTAAACTTATATGCATATACATATTTATCTATATTTAGGATCTATAATTTAAAGCCTAGACAAAGTATAAAGTATACGCCATTTATATGGACACCAACTGCAGTGAAAAACAATGAGGCATACTTCCAAAACAAACCATTACAATGATTGCACTATTTGGCTGCGGTTGAGCCACCGCGTATGCATGCAAAGTGCAAAACAAGCATCTAAACAGCGATTCACAGATTTGATCTAGTAATGCGTTTTGTGATGAGCCTCGGCTGCTTTTCGGTTGTGTGCGGAAGGGTATATGTTGGCGTAATGCAACACTATACATGGTGCGTATGCATTGCGATTGAAAGTCTGGAAGATTGCCCATGCATCACTAAATAGGAAGGATCCTACAATAATTATAGAATTTTTGTTTAAATTCATTCATATTGCTTGATTTAACATCTTTTGGTAATTCAATAAAGCATCTTAATCCTTTATAATACAAGTTACATTTATCTGCTTCGGTTTTATAAGCAGGTAGTTTGAAATCATTTTTATTTCGAGTATTTTTGGAGTGTACATTATTGACATACTTTATGTTGTTTTTAAGTAATCAGGCATATAATGTTCCTAATAAATTTCATTGTGTAGTAAAAAAGTTGTTGTTTAACACTCAGCCAATTTAATTCGGCCAACATGTCTCTGATGGGTGTGTCATAACATCGCATGGCTCTGTTCTGTTGCTTTTGCAATTTATAAATTTGACTATCTCTCATTATGAAAAAAATAGTTGGACAATAATTAAAATGAGGTTCGATTATAGATCTATATACCATCGTCTTATACCTTCTACTCAAGTATCTGCAGGTTCTCTGCGTAAAGTATAATTTTTTTACGATCTTGCCTACAGTATAATCAATGTGTTCGTTAAAGACTAGTCGATCTTCGATCTTTATTCCTAGATATTTGAATATATTAACTTTTCCAGTGCTTCGTTGTTTATATTTAGAGTTAGCAACCCACTGTTCTCAAAATTTCGCCTTGATATAACCATAAGCTTAGTTTTATTGACATTCAATTTAAGTCTGTTCAAACATAAGCAATCGTATAATTTATTTAAGTCATCTTGCAATTTAGAGGCTATCTCAGCTATATTTTCTCCACTTAGCATAAGCAACGTATCATCAGCAAATAACTTAATATCGCAATACATACTTTATGCAATTAATAATGTCATTAATATATATATTAAACAAAATTGGAGCTAGCACAGATCCTTGAGGCAGTCCGACAGATACACTGCTTTTATCGGATATTGATGATCCAGTCGCAGTTCTTTGATATCGAGTCGTAATGAAGTTTTCAAACCACTTTAGTTCGATACCATTTACGCCTATATTGAATAACTTTTTTATGCGATAGAATAAATGTTGATTTTCAACACTCAATGCCTGACAAGCTGCGATTGAAGATCAGCCGAGTCATTTGTGCATCTAATTTCAGAATATATTTTCAAGTCATCAGCAAACAGAAGAAAACTAGCATTCGAAAGATAGGAACTGATGTCCTTGATAAATTGTACGAAAAATAGTGGACCCAAGATGCTCCCTCGTGGGACACCTGAGATAGCAAAAAAAAAGTAAGTGTGCCTGGGCCACACTGTAGAAGTGAAACTTACGTTACTTATCTATCTATACATACACACATCTGCTTTTGCTTAAGGTTATATTTTTTCGCTTTTTTTCTATCAATGTAGATCCCTACCTCTACCACTGTTCGTTTTAACAACATTCATGTTAATCTGTTTTCCATTATCTTCATTTTTATCATTATACTCTATCGATAACAAAATCGATTATAACGTCCATCAAAATAGCGATACCATAATCTATGACAAATTCGGTAAAAATTTCAAAAGCAACATCGATAATACTATTGGTAGCTAAATCGATAAAAATATCGATAACAAAATCGATAAATATCAATAACAAAATCGATTTATATCGATAACAAAATCGATAAAAATACCGATATATATCGATAACAAATTCGATAAATATCGATAACAAAATCGGATAAATGTCGATAACAAAATTGATAAATATCGCTAACAAAGTCGATAAATATCGATAACAAAATCGATAATTATCGATAACAAAATCGATGAATATCGATAACAAAATCGGTTAATATCGATAACAAATCGATAACAAAATCGATAACAAAACCGATAAAAATATCGATTATTTTATCGATAGGTGTCGATAGGTGTAGATTGAGTCTCTGTGTCTCTCTCTATATCCTTTCCTCTTTAGTTACCTCTATTTTAATCTTTCTTCCCCTATCTTCATCTTTGCTTTTATCGGTATCCTCATCCTCCTCTTTGTCTTTGCTTCTATGTTCATCATTTTTTTTAGCTACATATTCCCCTTCACATTTGTTCTTATATATATAAGTAAAGTGTTTAGATTTACCTTCGTCTTCATTTTTGCCTTTATCTTTACGCATCTTTGTTTTTGTTGTTATTTTTACGTTTGCCTTTATCCTATTCTTCATTTGTGTATGTAGTCACCTTTACTTTCACTCTTGTATTGGTCTTTTTCTAAGTGTTGTTCTTTAACCTTTTGTTAGCAAATTTTTGTTAAATTTATACCATATGCATACATATAAGAAGCACTTGTTTCAGCCCCAACCATTTCCGTTGCATCATTTCTGTTGCATCATTTCCGATGCATATACACAATAAGTACTTGTTTCAGCCCCAATCATTTCCGTTGCACCATTTCCGTCCCAACCAGATCCGTGTGCAATTTCCGCTGAATTTGCCAATTTACTCCCAACCAACCAACCGCCGCTAAAGAAGTTTCACTTCAAAAATCTTATACGAAACGCCGTCGATAACCACCGTACTAGATCTCAAGCGTACGTAAGACCTGATCCACTCCAAGAAGACCGAGTGGATACCCATACATTCTAATTTAGTCAGTAAAATATTGTGGCATATGTTGTCGAAGGCTTTCGAAAAGTTTGCGTAGATCACATCAAGTTGAAATCCATTACGAAAAGTTTAAAAACAATCCTCAGTAAAAACTCCGAGGTTAGTCACCGTGGATCTGCCCGATACAAAGCCGTGCCGATTAGGATAGATGAAATGTTTGGCATTAAAATAAAGTTTGGGTTTGATGATGTGTTCGAATATTTTAGCAACTGTGGACAATTTACTAATCCTTACTAATATTATAAATCCGAAAGTGAGTTTGTTTGTTTGCTACGCTTTCACGCTTTAACTATTCAACCGATCATAATGAAATTTTGTACAGTGCTGTTATTTAGCCCAACTTAAAATATAGGATACATTTAATCTCGATTAGTCTCGAGGGCGTGGCACCTCCCATACAAACGGAATTTTTCATACTGCATTTCTCAGGAAATATTTTTAGTAGATTACTGGAACTTGGTATAGAGATATATAAGTCATTGTCTACTGATGGATGAGGGCTGCCACCTTTTAAAAAAATCTAATTCAACTTCAATTAAGGGAGTTATTTATTTGAAAATTATATTAAAAAAAAATGGATGTCAAGAGGCTTAAAAAAGCTGTAGTTTAATATATTTTGAAAAGGCTTGCAACCTGTTTGAAAAGTAAAATTTAAATTAATTATACGCAAGGCATCTGAAGAATTAAAATATGGTTGTCAAACAAAATATTGTTTAGAAACCGTTAGTTTTAAAGTTTTGAATAATATTGAAGTCTTTCACAAGGGTTGCCACCTTTTTAAAAATTCAACTTAACTAGTTTAAATAAAATATTATAATACTAGCATACCCGGCGAACTTCGCCCCGCACAAAATAATTTTTTTTATTGAAACTTTTTGGTCCAACATTTTCACCAATAATTCACGTTTACAATTTTCATTGGGACATTCATCAGCCAAGATTATGGTTTGATGGTCATTTGCCGCTTTAAATAACCTAACGAAAGTTCTTTAAATTCTCTAATTGTGTAACATTTCATAGAACAAAGAAATAAATTTGAAGAACACTTTCTCTTCACTCCCTGGCGGCAACAATGATCCGGTTCTATAGTAAATCTGTCCAAGAAACTTTATAGTATAGTTGGTGACAATTTCGAAATGG